CTCACTTCTCGTTGTCTGGTGTTTTGTAGTTTCCTTATGACAAACTTTAGTCCTGCTCTGCAGCTGTGTGTGTAATAGCTAAACTGCAAACCTCAGCGGGGAACACCATCTTCATAGTTTTATTGTGGATAATATGTTTGCATTGTTTCTTTTACCCAGCATAGTGCCTTGTACATAACACATTCCTTGGAGATTCTTTGCTTGAATTATCATCGAGATTCTGTATATTGCCCTTTTCCTACCACAGTGTAGTTTCAAATATTTTTAAATATTTACCTAAAAGTGTGGTGAATGCTTAGTAATGTTCATTTGTTTTTATTTGTAAAAGGGATGGGGTTACATGTATCATTAAAAAATGTTTTTTTCCTTATATGACTCTGATGTCATCAGGAAGGGGAAAAAGTTATCGTGTATAAAATTGAATTATTGACTTTGGGTTAGAGTTAACATGCTTGTTTAAAAATACAAAATACAGTATTTAATATTGACTGGTGAATATATTAAGCGGTTACATTTAAAATCAGAATATTTTGATACCCAGTTGCATAGTTTTCTGACCACTTTCTTTTTAACTGTAAAGATTCATGATTTATATTGTTATAATATCAGTTTGGAGGATGTGGTCTTTTGAATTTAAATTCCTTATTTTAAGGATAGAGCAGAGAGATATACTGTCCACAAAAATAGAGAAGATAGAATCCATGTATTCATCCATTGCCAAGGAAGAATAACATGAGAGTAAAATAGAAGGTTGTGATTTTCTTCAGAATTCAGAATGTTATCTTAAATATAATACACTTGCATTATCAGGTTACAGCAGTGTCCTCTTACATTTGGATTCCCTTACAAGCTGAAATCTGTCTGAAAGCATTAGCTCTTCCTGTGCGCTCTGTGAGTGCTATAAACCCTGCCTCTGGTTTTTAAAAGAACTACCCTCTGCTGGTTTCAGGTTTCATGGTTGTTACTTAGATGTGGGCTAGATGCCATTTTAATAATTTGCATTTGGGATTTGTGGCTACAATTAGATGGGATAATAAAGTACATTAGGAATTGCATTGCATCTACTTCTAATTGACTGTGTTTCATTAGGGCAAGATAACATTTTTTAAGTATTAAAATTGTTAAAACCAATGCTATCTAGACTCATCTCTATGATATAATGCTTGTTTTTTCAAATATTCATGCTGTCAAATATTTAGTTTCTTATTCATTCATGTTGTATGCATGTACACATGTATGTGAATAGACTAAGCCTTGATTCTTAGTTTCAACAGCAAAGAATTCTGAATGCACAGGAAATCAGGTTTTACATTAGAACTCAGAGGTTGATGATGGTCGAAATTAGGATATTTAAGTTTGAAGGCTTCAGAACTAAAATCAGATCCAGGTGGAAAAATGCTGTAGTGAATAGAACAGCAGAATCACTTATTAAAAAGTATTATTCCCCCGGGCCCTCTCTACTTGACCTGAATCTCACCTTCCTAGAGTAGGGCTGTAGATGCCAGGTAACTGCTTTTGTATGCTAAAGTTTGAATGGTTTTCAGATGTGTACAAGTAAATACTAGCCAATTGTTTTTCTCTGTTTTTGGAAAACATTGAGCTAACAAAGACAAGAAAGTAGCACGTTCTCAGATGTAAGTAGCAGTGAGGATTGGCGATCTCTGCTTTCAGAGGTTTCAGCTGTGACATGGAAAGTGAGACAGTCAGTCACCTGATGTATTATTCATACATTGGTTGCTGTTCTTTGAGATATTTCAGACTCTTAGAGGTCACAGACAAAACACCTTAGCAGAAGTTTGACTCTGGAAAGAAATTGAAATGAGACATTGTGTAGAGTATGTGAAAGCATCAGTCTTTTTCTGTTCCACTATGCAGGGGTTACCTTTGTTTATCAGGTTTTGAGTGTATTCTTTCTGACCATTTCTCTGCTTTGGAATAAGTATGCATTCACATGTATTCATTTATATGCATGCATATTTTAAATATTAATTTGTTAGTGTTTTTTTTTAGTTCTTTATATAGTCTAGACATTTAGCCTTTGTTATATTGAAAATAACATTTATTTTTAGCTTTTTTTTTTTAGTGGTGCCATAATAACTAACATCTTACTTTGTGCCGGGAGTTCTTCTGAGTCCTCTATGTGTGTTATTTTATTTAATCCTCCCTCTGCTTCATAGATGAAGTGACCTGGATTCAAGGAGTTTAAATAACATGTCAGGCACATGCGACTGCTAAATGGTAGAGCCAGGATGGGGATGTAAAAGGACGGATTTCAAACATTACACCTAACCAGTACACTGTATCTTTACTTGTAACTTTTTAAAATGTAAAAAATGGAAAATTTGAAATTTGATAAGAAGCTCATTTAAAAACAAAGATATTTTAAGAGACTATGGTGATTTTAATATAAATGTTTAGGAATATAACACAAACATATGTGTGATAAACAGATATAATATTGTATTAATACAAATATTCCGCAGACTTTTGGGGATATTTGCCCTATTTCTATTTTTTTTTTAATTTTTAATCCTTGTCCAAGGATATGTTTATTGATTAGAGAGAGAGAGGGAAAGCACTGATCAGTTTCCACCTGTAAGCTCCGCAGCTGAGGATTGAACCTGAAACCTAGGTATGTGCTCTGACCAGGGATTGAACCTGCAGCCTTTTGGTGGATGGACGACACTCCAGCCAACTGAGCCACCTGAGCAGGGCACCCTATTTCTATTTAGAACTGACCTTCAGTAGCACATTCTCTGTTTTCTTCCACTGATTTCACAATAGCTTGTTAATCTCCCTCTTGCCAATCATTTTGGTTTCATCCATCCTCAGTATGCTACCAGAATAATCACTGTAAGTGCAGTTTTGATCCTGCCACTTGGTCCTTTGTTGGGAAACTTTCAGTGACATGTTTCTTGATGAATGAAGGCCAGGCTCTTCCCTTAGAGGGCATTTGAAGACTTGTACAACTCTTCCACCTGTACCCTTCAAGAATTGTCTTGAGCAACTTTTCTTGACACTTACTTAATACTTCAATCAAATGGGATAATTTGCTTTTCTTATTTTGGAACCACATTCTCTGGCTTCATATTTGGATCAATTAGTATTCTTAATCAACCAGAAGAGGCTGACTGGCTGATTGAGCAGATGAGGTATTTATTTTGTTACCTCATAGAATTTTGGGAGAGAGCTGGAAAACTAGGTTTAAGGTGAAGCTTGCTGGTGTTATGTCTCAACTTACATCTGAGAACTGTCACTCACTCTCCTGCCCCACCAAGTGTTGCTCAAGTGCTGCCACTGGGCTGGAACTTGATTTGGCCACGTCTGCTGCTGCCACCGTGGAAGGCCGACACCTCTACTGCTGCCGTGCCAGCCCAAAGGGTAGCTCCACACAGAGTCAGCCCATTTTCTCACGTGACTCACTTCCAAACTGAAATGTCCTGCAGGTGCTTCTGAGTGTGTGCACCAGAGTTGCAGGGTATATATTGGTAATTGGAGGTCTAAAGTTTATTTTGGGAGGTTAGACTTACTAGGTGAGAATTTTTCTGAGTATAAAGATTCTGCAGAATCTAATGAGAAACTTGAATATGGTAAATGTCCACTGTAATACTTTTACATATTCCTCCATCATAGTATTTTTCTCTCTTCATCTCCGGGTGAATAAATTCTATGCAAAGACCTGCTGGAATTTCATTTTTTGAATTAGTCTACCTCGTGCTTTTACACCTGAATTTTTTTTAAGTTTATTTTTAGAGAAGGAAGGGAGGGAGCTAGAGAGAGAGAGAGAAACATCAGTGTGCGGTTGCTGGGGGTTATGTCCTGCAACCCAGGCATGTACCCTGGCTGGGAATCGAACCTGGGACACTTTGGTTCCCAGCCTGTGCTCAATCCACTGAGCTACGCCAGCCAGGGCTTTGACCTGAATTTTCTGATCACCTTTTGAACATTTCCCATTACTTTATTTTTTAAAACAATATAAAAGCACAGAAGTAATACTTAAATATATTTTAGTATGGGTCAAACAGTATGGAGAGATATAGAATAAACTGTGAAAGTTGCTTACCTTCTCTACCTTCACACTTGAAATTGCTATCCCGTTTTCTAGATATCGTCTGGTAAAAGTTATAATCTTTGCTTTTAATTTGGCACATTTGATGATAATTTGACATGTGATAGTAAGTTTGTTGAGTGTAGAGGCCTTTATTTATTCTTTGGGTTTGCTTAGAGCCTACCAAAACTGTTCCTGTGTGTAGTAGAATATCATGTGAAGGCCTGACCTAAGACAATAGCTATGTAATCGTTTTGGAAGTGAAAACTTACAACTTGGGGATTTAGTGAACGTGTAGATAAAGGTAGGAAACAGTGTATACTCCAAATAAGAGGTCTAGCCTGGGAGGTAAAGCATTGATGATGCCATTAGGGGAGACTGGGAACATAAGGACTGTTCTGTATCTGCAGATATATTGGTAGAACCATTTCTGATTATTTTCTATTACTGCAGGAGCTCCTTTACTCATATTTCTGATTTGAATTAGGGTTTTGGAAAGCTGCTAAAATGTTCAGATTTGGCACAGAATTCCACAGTTTAGGAAAGACACTGGAAAATACCATTTTCTGGTAGAGTTGTGTCTGAGTCTGCAATGCTCGATTATGAGTAAGACCTCTCAGTGGGGAGATGCATTTTTCTTTCAAAGGTACAATGTTTATATTAAGTAGGGTGACTATAAACCGGTTTGCAATCATTGTTCATGTCTCAGTAGATGCTAAGTGAGCATATATTTTGTTATGTATTGGTCTTTAAAAATTAATGTTTGAAAGTTTGATCTGTTGCACATAAACTTAAAGGAATAATAATAGTAATTATAACTAATCATTTTGATAAATGCCTCTAAAAACGTATGCTGGGAAACTTGTACAAATTTTTGTTTTGGCATTTGTCATTTTGCCTCTTTTTTTCCCCTCTTAATTATAACTAATTTGACATTCTTTTCTCTTTCCAGATCATTCAACTTCAAGTGGCACATTAACTTTTAAGCCTAGTCGATCATTGGTTACTCTTCCTACTGCCCATGTCATGCCGTCTCACTCGAGCGCTTCAGTTTCCAAACACAGGGAATCGTTGACATCAGATGGCTCACCATGGAGTACAAGCCTCATGCAGACATTGGGAAACCACAGTAGGGGGGAACCAGACTCTTCACTAGACATGAAGGACTTCCGGCCCCTCCGGAAATGGTCATCTTTATCCAAACTCACAGGCCCGGATAACTGCAGTCAGGGTGGCGTTACACACACTGAAGAGTCAAGGAGTGGTTTGGAAAAGACAGAGAGAGGCAAAGCTTTAACATCACAACTAAGGACAGTTGGGCCTAGCTGCTTACATGATAGTATGGAGATGCTTAAGTTAGAGGACAAGGAAATAAATAAAAAACGATCGTCAACTCTGGACTGCAAATACAAATTTGAGAGCTGTAGCAAAGAGGACTTTAGAGCTGCTTCTTCCACCCTTAGGAGACAGGCCTTAGACATGACATACAGTGCCTTACCTGAAAGCAAGCCCAATATGACAAGCTCGGAGGCTTTTGAAACTCCGAAATATTTAATGCTTGGTCAACAGGCAGTAGGTGGAGTTCCTATTCAGCCTTCTGTGAGGACGCAGATGTGGCTTACAGAGCAGTTGCGGACAAACCCTTTGGAAGGTAGAACTACAGAGGACTCTTACAGTTTAGCTCCTTGGCAACAGCAGCAAATTGAAGAGTTTCCAGAAGAGAGTGAAACACCAGTGCAGGTAAGACGCAAAATCTAGTGTTTGCTTCCCTCCAGTGGATGTTGTGAGTATAGTAATAGCATACTTGCAGTAAGCATGTGACAGTGTGTTCATAGGTACAGATTGTTTTCCTTTTCCTTTCCCCTGAAAAGTAAATAAGCATAGATGCTATAAACTCCAAAACTACTGCATTGGTAAGCAAACCTTAAAAAACATTTGAGGCTGATTAACATGAAAACTCGGATTTTACTTCCCTTCTCATTTGTTCAGTGGACATAAAAATGAACAAAACAAAACATTCTGAAGCAACTTGAAACAGAAACGAAGGATGTGGCTTGGTATCAAGGAATATTAATTTGGGAATATGGGGTCTTGCATTTTGTTTCTGTTCAATCAAATTCAGAACCTGGATTCTTTACCTAGCACTTAACTACGTAATATCTCGGGGCCTCAGTTTTTTTTCTTTTAATTGAAGTATAATTGAGATCTAACATTTATTAGTTTCAGGTGTACAACATAATAATAATTTGATATATTTACATAATTGCAAAATGGTCACCAAAATAAGTCTAGTTTATATCCATCACCATACATAGTTACAAGTTTTTTTTTTCCTGTGATGAGAACTTTTAAGATGTATATTCTTAGATGTATATTCTTTTAAGACGTATATACTTTAAAACATACAGTACAGGCCTCGAGCTTCTAACTTATGTCAACCATCACCAATCTATTCTCTGTATCTATGAGTTCTCCTTTTTTTTTTTTTTAAGATTCCACATGTAAGTGAGATCACATGATATTTGTCTTTGTCTGACTTCACATAGCATAATGCCTCCTAAAGTTCAACCGTGTTTTCACAAATGGCAAGGTTTCCTTCCTATTTTATGGCTGAAAAAGTAGGGGTAAAGTGGTTTACAGTTTTTTTGTATGGAAAAAGAATTACAATAATTAATAAATAACAATACAAGAATGAACTCTGTTTTATTTACTCACAACTTTAGCTTACTTTTGCTCCACCCTGTATACACCACATTTTCTTTAGCGTTCATCCGTTGATGGACACTTAGTTTCCTTCCATCTTTTGGCTACTGTAAATAAGGTTTCAGTGAACATGGGGTGTACATATCTTTTTGGATTAGTGTTTTTGTCTCCTTTGGATAAATTCCCCAGAAAGGGAATTGCTGGATCATATAGTAGTTCTATTTTTAATTTTGGAGGAAGCTTCATGTTGTTTTCCATACTGGCTGCACCAGTTCACGGTCTCACAGCAGTGTACCAGGCCGCTCCTTTCTCCACATTCTTCTTGGCACTTCTCTCTTGTCTTTGATGGTAGCCATCCTTGAAGTGCAAGGTGGCACATCACTGTGGTTTTGATTTGCATTTCCCTGATGGTGAGGGATGGTGAACAAGCACCTTTTCATGTAGACAAATTAATTATATCAAAAATCTCAATTTCCTTAGAGCAAAAATTTTAAATTATTACTTAATTCCTACTACTAATAAAAAATAATAAAGGCTGAAGAAATATATTCTCTGAAAGGATGAGGAGCTCACTTATCGAGGAGCCTCATGGATCTGAGTCCAATCCCAAGCATACAGAACCTGATGTGCTACGTCCACTGAACACCTCCAGCGTTCCTCCTCTACTCTCGTGTGGAACTCGAGTTCTTATCATCTTGTGTGTGTGTTTAAAGCTCATATTTAGACAGAAGCTTAATGATGTCTGAGTTACAAATCAGAAAAGAGCACTTTAACCAGATTTATTTGTGATTTATCCATTCGAGAGACTGAAAGATAGAAAACCCAATTTAAAAAATAGTATTATATTTTAGTTCCCAAATGCTTATTATCAGAGAACAGGGACCAAGCAGTGATTTCTCTGGGTGGGGTCTTTACACAGAATTGGAGTTGCCCAGGAGGCTGAGTGTTCTACTCCAACCTGAAGTAGTTGTTATAGAAAGGTAACTGAGAAAATTGGATGAATTTAAAGCAATAAGTATTCATTCAATACTACTTTCATCCTGCTTGTATGAGCGAACTTCTGCTGTAAACAAAGTTTTCCCCAAGCTTGACAGTGCAGCCAGGCAAGGGACCTTGAAGGTGCTTTGTGGAGCACAACTTACTTTTAAATCCTCCCAGTACATGGTCAGGGAAGAAAGCTACTAAGGGACAAAATTTGCATACACCCTGGAAAGTTCTACTTTTTGATTAACATTATTTTGGATGGTGTCTTTACAGTGCTTTTAGTTTTGGAGCATGAAGATGAAACTAGGTTAAAGAAAACTCAGACACTTCAATTGCAATATTTAAACAATTGCTTCTCTTCTATTCCCTTCTTGCACCATTATAGAAAAAATTATTCAGTACCTTCTCTTTGGAGTGTCCTGTCCTATCTTTATTATTTTAAAAGCTCCCATCTTGGTTGTTTTTTTTTAAGACTCTTTAAAACATTGGGACTTCCATTTAATCCAAAAGCCACAATAAGGATCAACTCATTATTTCCCATGTGAGAATGTTTATAATTTTTAAGCACATCTGCTAAACTCTCACCATGAAAAAAACAACTACTATTTTACAACAACAAGGAATTTGGCTGAGAGTCGCAATCTAATACCATGATTGATTTATATAGAACTTTGTAGCTGTTGGAATATTTTTATCTCATTATCCTCATTATCCTCACTGCCTTCTTCCCCCTTTTTTTCCCCTTCAAATGGTAAATATTGTGAATTTTGCTCTTCTTAGGACTGAGCCCAGAATCATTATTGAGTCAGCCCCACACTCGAATGTGCATAGTGTTTCATGATTCCCATGGTTTGCTACCAAATCTGCTACAGTGCAGGTGCAAGGGGAAACCCAAAGACCCAGAATTATCTTCTGGAGGGCTGGCCCCTTGTAATACAGGCTTCCCTTGCTAGGTGAGTGCTCTAGGAACGCATCGGTATCAGTGCACCAGCTGGTGTTATTGTAAGAGACTATGTGTTGGCCTTCAGAGAATTTTTTGAAGACTTTCAGTGTTTTTGCCCATTTCATGATGGGTAATTTATGAGCGCACCTGCCCACATCATGCTGTGTGTTCAGCAGTTTTTGACCAAAACCAGCATGATCCCATGCCCCACCCTGTCCCTATTGACCTCCAAGAAACTTTTTTAATGTTTCTCTGGATGCCCAGATAAAGAAAGTCCTCAAAGGAAAAGAGATGCAACAAAAAACAGCAGAAGTGCTAAAAGGCATCAAAATCGATGAGTTCAAAAACAGTTTTGAGCAGTGGAAGGTGACTGAAGTTTAAACATATAAGAATAAATACACCATGTTTTATAAATAAATTCTGGGTTTTTTGTTTTGTTTTGTTTTTTTGGGGGTTCCTGCTCAAAGTGTAGTACTCTGAAGCATTTTCCTTTGTTCTGACGAGAAGCCATCTGTGCCCTGGTTAGGGTGTAGGCCTCCCTGTGTTATGTCCACTACTGTCTTTGATTTTTTTCCTCTCTGATACATCACCCCTCTCCTCCCACCCTGCCCACAGTCTGACCCTCCAAGAGGAGAAAAACAACAGTGTTGTTTTCTCTTTTGAAAGAATGTATCTCTTTCCATGTCCCTGTCACATTTCTTTTTTGGGGGGAGTGGATAGGAAAGGAATGGAGGGTGTGTACCTCTACACAGCATTATCCATTGGATTTTCCTGAGCTCACAGTGGATCTCTGGGACACAGTGAAGAAGTCATCTATTTATTGACAACGTTGTTTATCTTCTTTTATATCCTCTAGGATGTTTGTAAGTTCTAGGTTGCAGTCATTACAAAGGAAGATAAAATTTTGTGCCTCTTTAAATCATGTAGGGATATGTTCAGTGACGATATAGGTTTCTAATGATTTCAACATATTTCACTGAAAAACTTCTGTTATATAAATAAAAAACACAAATAAAAATTTGATAAAATTACTGTTAAATGACTTAGGTTTTTGTCTAACATATAAGAACAGAAAAGTTATATTTTAACATGAGTGTTTTTTGTAATATATTACAGCTTATGAAAAGCACTAGTTTTCTTATTTTTATTCTTATTTTTATACCATTTTGTCTTTAACCTTTTCTTAATGTTTAAGATAATTGCACTAAAAGAGGTAGACACTATAACATTCCAAGTGGGTAGGATATACCATTATGACACATCATTAGTTAGCGAAAAAGCGTATAAGTGAATTTTGTATGCTTGCTTTAATAAATAACATTGGTAATACTTGACATTTTTCATCTGTCACCTTTCCTCTATAGTATTAGAATATAATTTTTAGACATTTTAATGTGTGCTGTTACTTAGAAGAACAGATTTTGTTTTGAGAATTTATTATTTTTCCACTTTGCCATAAAACTGAAAAGTAATCAAAGGATAAGTAATTTCTAGGTAGAAGGAGATTCATTATTTTATGTAGGTCTGCCCTCTTGTGTCCGTACTAGGAAATCTTGATCTTATTTTACAAGGGGAATGTCCCTGAAAACAACCTACAAAATCAAAACTGCTTATATTAGATTTTTTATGTCATATCAGTTATGAGTGTATTAAAGAATGATTTCACCAAATTCAAGAAGGTCATTTTAATATAAGTGATTTGCATTAAATAAACATTGTAAACCACAATATAAAAAGCAACATTAAACACTCAAAAATTCATTTTTAGGACTGTGAATTACGTTTGGAATTTATTCTGCAGTAGAAAGTATTTCAGCACTTGGTATTAAAACATTTTAAATACATTGTTTTATTGTATTTTACCCTTTGTACATCATGATTAACAAAATAAATAAGTTACATTTAAAGAATGGATTTTTGTTCTTCATTATACCTGACTTAACAGTATTTTGTAGTCATTGAGTATAAGGTTTTAATTTCTATTGAAGGCAGAATGAAACACAAAAAATCTTTATTTCTAATTTATTAAGGAAAACTCTATATCTGCATACTTTATAGTTTGAAGTTGATGTTGTAATGAACAGTGTATTGAAAGGAATGGAACTTACTATTTCAAATTTTCCACTTGTTTTTAAGGTCATGCAGCTAATTATAGAACTTGAGGTTTTTTTTTGCATGGGTAATTACTGACACCAGTGAAGTGAATGTATATCTTGTTATTTATAAACTTTCTAGTTGACATTAGGACTCTCTAATCCATAGATAAGTCTTTGCTCAAGAAATCCCCATCAGTGTAAGATCCTTTTCCCTCACTTCTTCACATATCAGTGAACCTCCTCCCCTCTCCAGTACTTCTCAGGCATTCAGAAAAATTTAAAAAATAACGTTCTCTTATCATGTTCTGCTAACAGCACTTGTGTTACAAACCGAGGTCAATATTGACTTTTCAAATTCTTTTAGTAACCATCTTTTAACAGATCATATAGTAAATTAAATGTTCCTACCCCTTTAATAATTGCTATATTAGTAATATGTATTGAAGTTAAAATTATTGGATGATACAATATAGGTGTAAACCATTTTAGACTTCATTTTCAACTGAGTCCATTTAAATTACCAAATTTTGGTTGAATATATTTTCTATCACCAATTTTTACTTCTGATGTTTATGAGGTTTGGGGCGATATTTTTAAATGACTAGAGGAGACATTGAAAATGTGTTCCACGAGAAAATAATTGTAGATTAGCTTTCCTGGGTGTATAATTTAGTGTAGTAGAGTGGTCTATCAAATGTGAGGGGGGGCCCAAAAAGAAAAGGTGTAATTGTCTTCTGGAGGGTGGGCCCCTTGTAACACAGGCTTCCCCTGCTAGGTGAGCAGTCCAGGAACCCATCTGTATCAGTGTACCAGCTGGTGGTGTTTTGAGAGGCAGCATTCACCTTCAATGAATTTTTTTTTGAAGACTTTCAATGCATTTGTCCATTTCATGATGGGTGATTTATGAGTGTACCTGCCCATACCACGCTGAATGTTCAGCAGTTTTTGACCAAGAACAGCATGACCCCTGTGCCCTACACTCCCTATTCACCCAATCTCACCCCTGAGCAACTTTTTTGTGTTTTCCGGATGCCTGGATGAAGAAAGTCCTCAAAGGGAAATGTTTTGCTGATGTGAAAGAGGTCAAACAAACAAACAAAACAGCAGAACACTAAAAGGCAAAATTAAAAATTGACGAGTTCAAATTTAATTTTCTCCCTTTTCTATATATATCCCTTGAAAATCCAACTCAGCCTATTGGCTCCATTTCTGAGAAGTGGAAAAATGTCTGCATAGGCGTAGTGCATCAAATGGAGAGTACTTTGAAGGTGAATGAAGTTTAAACATGTAAGAATAACTACACAATTTTTTATAAATAAATTCCAGAGTTTTGGGGGTTCCCCCTTGTGTTTACTATCTGGTTGATGAGATTAAGGAAAAGAGCTCTATCCTGTCATATACAGTAGTAAGACAAAAAATTCATTTCAAAATATAATCAATGAATAAGTTAATTTGGAGAGAGAATTTGAAATTTTACTTTTAATGCTGGAAATACTGTTCTTTCCTCCTCTTCTTGAGGCATTGAGTATGACACTAGAATAGAAGACAACCTATCAAATCTAAAGTCGTAAGATTTCATGATTGCAAAGATACAGTATGGCCAATTATGTATTCTAGCTCAGATAATCAACTACAGTGCCGTAAATTAAAGTTAGATTCTATTCTATTAGCATATTCATAGTTATGGCTAATTACATTGTCAGCAGGTAAAGTAACCAACATTTCTTCTCTATTGAGCAATCATACTGTCCTATGGGAGGGAGATGGTTATCTACATGTACTAGAATCCTGTAATTCTTTGAAAAAAGTAATTATGAGAAGTTATTTATGTAAGAATATAGCCTTACTTTTTCCTACTTGATTCTCATAAACTTCAAAAAATGTTAGGGTAAGTATAGAAAGAGAATGCAATTTCTATTTTAGAATGGAGGTTACGATAGTTACTACTACAAAGATGTCTGTAAAATAATAATAAAGATAACATGAGGAATCAGTGGGCTTATTTCAAATAATGACACTTGAATGATTATTTTGGTACTTGTGAAGACCTGAAAAATACTTAATAAACATCAAAGAGGCTTTTACAGTACAATATAAATTATATTTACTGCCAATAGTGAAGCTAATGCTTTATATATGACGTGAACTTATTAGCAGTACAGTTTCAAAACTAAACTCCTAGTTCATCCTCAGAAAAGATTTGGGATTGAAACTTACAAGCTCTGTTGCAGAAACCCAACAGTTACATTGGACACACTATTTATAGTTGTTTTAAAGTTAATTTTGAAAATAGAGCCCTTTTCACGGTTACAAGATCCAGCAGGTGAATACATTCGCTAATAACTTCTTCTGAATCTTGACCTTTTCACAAAACTTCTTTTACGTAGGGAGTGGTCTGTTTTTCCCTCTCCATGGGATGACACCTGTTAAGCTGATGGTGATCAGTTGCAACACTGGAGGTTGCAGCAGAGCTTCAGAGAAGCATCACGATGATGCAGATCAACAAGAGACATATTAAGATGAGACAGAAGTTGATAAACAGGTTCTGGAGATTTTGGCGTGCTTGTTGAGGCACTTCAATTGTTGAAGCTCTTCTTATAGCAGAGCGAGTGAGGTATTGGACCTTCTCCATGACTCTGGAAGGCAAGGAAGTCTGAAGTTTTACAGGATCAAGAAGAAGGGAAAAAGTGGACAGCCAAACGTGAGGTCACTTTCTTCGAGGTGGTCTGCAATGTAAAAACAGTAAATGGATTAGGATCATAGTGCCACCTAGTCTCTGAACGGGTAAAATACAATTTTATACTCATCTTCCTCAACATTATTTGGATTTATGACTTTTAATATCTCTGTAGTCTATATTTGTGTGCACACACAGGTGTTTGCTTGTCTGTCTGCCTCTCTTTTTTGTTTTTATTATTTTTGTTGTTGTTGAGGGTCACTACGACGTCTTATTTGTCTTGTGTTTGCAGTGTAGTAACTTCAGTCTTTGCCTCCTCTCAAAATGACTAGAATATAGTTTGGTTTATGGTGTACCTTGTGCTGGGCTATTGCCTTGGACAAAGTTCTTAATATATAGTTTTATTAAGATTACTTCTCTGTGAGCATAATTGTTGTGAACATTAATGTATTAACAGCCCTAGAGCAAGTCTCATAAAAAGAAATGCATGATGTAAATTATTGTTCGGCTGTTGATTTTAGTCCAAAATAAAATAGTTAAATGAGAAATGTTTCACCAGTACTATAGATTCAGATGTTTGTCATTCCTTTTTATGATTTTATAGCTTTGTAGAATATGCTGTCAAGCAACATTTAACAAGACTTGGAATTAAGCCCCGAAGACTGCCAGGATCGGAAGTCAGTGATAAAGTCATCTTTATCTCACTATCTACCACAGACAGTTCCTATTTACAAATGACATGTTCTTATAGGCAGTGGTTTCCATTGGCTTTCTTTCAGAGTTCCCACAAGCTGTTCTACCCAATTAATTAATTAATTAATTGTTGCCTAATTATTTGTGCTAATTAATAAACCAAAATAAAACTTAAAAAGCAATACTTCATTATAGAAAAAATAGATATATTAAAATTAACTGTATATTAAATATATAGAGTTAATACTAGTAAGATTTGGGGATGTTTTGTTGGCAATTGGGATACTTCTATATAAATTTTGAAATAAGGAAAGTTAGATATGGAATACAAAATAACCATAATTAGCTGCCTAGAGATCGTGGCTGTTAACATTTGTTGATATGTCATTGTTAGTGAAGATATTACTGCCTTACCCCAGCTGCCAGATTTAATTTCCTTTCATGTCTGTGCATCCCATGAAAACCCAACTCAGCCTGTCAGCTCCATTTCTGACAGAGACTAGTGATGGAGTGAGAAGAAAGAACTGAAAGAATGGGAAAGGGGAAGAGGTGGATCAGGCCTGATCAGTGAGAACTTCCATTTTTACAAGGAAACCATGTGGTACATGGTAGTTGGATTCCGTAGCTCTAGTACTTCAACTTGGCTCTGTTATGTATGACTTGGATTGTGTACCAGACTGTAGTTTCATCTGTCTGGGCAGTCTGGTCTGCTTCATAGTGTTGGTCTGTAGTAAGGAGATCCCAGCAGCCAATATATGTCACACACTTTGCTCCCAGAAAGAGCTGGTGACAACCTGTGTATATTCTCTAGCACAGTGATTTTCAACCTTTTCCTCTTATGGCACACATAAACTAATTACTAAAATTCTGTGGCACACCAGAAATATGTTATGTCTTTTGCTGATCTGACAACTGACTAAAAAACAATAGGTATAATTTTTGTTTATTCATACCTGGTGGCTATTGTTGTGTTGGCTGTTTTCTTTCTTTTTTTTTTTTAATTTCATAATCTAAGGGAAAAGAGTCAGTGTCCCAGACTAAATAGTCAGATATTGCATGTTTTAAAAATTTTTTGTGGCCCACTGGTTGAAAATCACTGTTCTAGCATGTATATATATACACACATAAATATATATATAATCACCCAAAATCTGTTTGATATACATACATACATACATATATATGTATACATATACATATCAGTGACTATAGCATTTTAAACTTGGTATGTGTTTAATTATTTTTGTTTGGTTTCCTCAGATAAAATAGAGAGGTTTTCTTTTGTTCTTTAAGAACATGGATCATTTAAGACAGAGTCCTGGGGATTTCTAAAACTGAGGTTAGGACCATGCATAATGTACGAGCAGAGTGAGTGGGCAGTTCTACCAGTGGTCACGTGTCGATCTCCCTGAGAGCAGGGCAGAGAAGAACAGTCGCCAGACAGGATTTGAAACAGACCACTACCACCAAGGAGGAACATGGCCTTCCTATACTGCATACCAACACACATACATTTATACTTTCTATGGACAGTTTAATAAGGAATGGGAATTGAACAAGCTTAACAAAAGAAAGTGTATCACTTAAGTTGTTTCTGGTTATATTTGCTTATAGTTGATAGAGTAAATTTATACCATTGGGTAATTCTGGGGAAGATTTCCTTTTTTCTTTTATATATTAGACTGGTTGCTTTATATAAGGATATATAACATGACAGTTAAGAAAAGACCATTTTAAGCATTGACCATTTTTCATATGAACTCAAATTTTTGTGCAGTTTTGGGATTTAAATGGTTTAAAAGGTCTGAATTGAAAAATTATTTTGAGGCAGAACATGGAAAAGGAGGAAGCTGACCAGTTATTCATCATGAAGCATTGTGTATACAAGAGTCATTCTCTACTCTGACACTGATGAGTGGTGTGTCAGTCACATGAAACATGTCAGCTTCCATAAATACTTCATTCCTTTTATGATTCTGTCTCTTGCACATGTTGTTCTGGCTCTGTCTGGAACCTTTCCTCCCACCCCAACCTTTGATTTTTGCCTGGCAAATTTTATTTTATCTTTAAGGCCCAGTTTAAATAATCACTTCCTAATAAAGCCTTTCATTACCCTTTAAGGTAGAATTGATTCAGCTCTGCTGGTTTTCAGTAAGGCATTAGTGTTACCCACACCAGGATAGTTATCTGGCTGTGCTGTCATTTTGATTTAAATGTTTGTGTCCTCAACTAGACTTCTAGTTCGTGAGTAAAAGGAACCACGTGTTTATTTTCTATTCTGGTACTTGGTGCATAATTGATACTATTTGAGTAAATCAATGAGGTGAATGAAAAGTTTTTATGATATACTTTATTATTTTTAGAAAATTGATAATGATCAATGATAGTGATATGATTAATAGATTACCAGTTAGAGTAACAGAATTTGATAGTTGACCACATTCTCCAATATTCTTTTCAAGTCTCCTCCTATTACAGATGAGGAAAATGGAGGTTTAGAGCATTTCCATTAGAGGATTACAGTTGAGGTAAATTGTTAATGTAAACACTAAGCCTGAAGTAGGCTTTGTACAAATGGGTGTTTGAGGTTTGTGAAATGCACAGTGGTATATTTAGGGCAAAAAGTAGTGCCCTAAAGAGCTGAGCTCTCTACTGATCAAAGTACAAGGCATACCCTTTAAAGATGATCTCATATTATTTCAACGGCTAGCCATTGTTGAAAAAGGATAGTTTGTTCTTAGAAGCAAATTGAGTATAAAGGAGACAGCCAGAGATCGTGGTTTGTTTCTTGTCAAACTTAGAAATGTTATAATTCTAAAGTGATTTGTAGTTACTTTATAATCTTATTCTAAAACCAAAAACAAATCTGCTTTACATTTTACATGCTGAAGTGTTAGCTGTATGCATTCGACTTGTTGCGTCCAATTTATTTTACGTGGTACAGTCTGAAGTGTGTTGAGTCCTGATTCTGCTGAACTTCCAAATACTGTATGATAATAAGGCAAAGTTTATTCATACAACATGAGGCTTCCTATTATATGTTGAGAATTGAAAAGCTGTGCATGGAAACAACACAGTCCTGTGTTTGGAGTTTTCTGTGACCTTTACTACATCATAATGACATGGTTGTTAGGTATTTATCATTCTTTTCTCTGTGATCATAACCATGCTGAGTCTGCTCCCAACCCCATTTTCTTAGAGCCAAGCTGTTAATAGAGCATTATTTGGCAGAGGGCCTAGAAAAATAGTTTTATTTTCATTTTATCTGACTTTTTACAGCATTTTTTAAGGATAATCAGAAATAGATTGTGTTGGGATGTTCTGAATTTGCATCTGACTTAAAGAACCATGGAGATTGAAATTAACCCTTACTCTGCTCCCTTTTACAGAATGACAGTATATGCAAATTAGGTGTTTGGGACAAGAAGAGTGAGGACATTTTTTAAATTATTCATTTCCACCCTGGCTGGCGTAGCTCAGTGGATTGAGCGAGGGCTGTCGCAGGTTCAATTCCCAGTCAGGGTACATGCCTGGGTTGCAGGCCATGACCCCCAGCAACCTCACATTGATGTTTCTCTCTCTCTCTCTCTGTCTCCCTCCCTTCCCTCTCTAAAAAAATAAATAAAATATTTAAAAAATTATTCATTTCCTAAGCCCTAGAATTAGAATATTAAAAACATGGAAGATGCTTTGACAGGAGTTTGGTTGTAGAAATGCCAGATCCCTGTCTCTTGAGTCACACGTAAGAGACAGAAAAGTGTCCATAGAACATCTTGTGTGTCTGTGAGATCTATAATTATTGTAATTTTTGGAGGAATGGGAGGGATAACTAACTCTTTGCTGCTCTTTGTAGGATTTATAAAGCCTTTGGTTTACTTTTGCTTTTTTTCTGAAAGAGGTGAAATTGGGAAGTAAATGCAGTAAGGTTTAAGGTAGCATTCTGTTTCTGAAGTGGAAGAAGAGAGACCACAGGCAGCTCTGATCCTTCAAGTGTGTACCATGTCAGGTAACAGTTTGAGTCAGAGGTACTATCTCAGCTTCTGCAGGAGTCCTCACTTTGTCTGCAATTAGTCATTTTCCAGTGTGACAGTAGGTGTGGCAGTCTTGTGCAAAAGGAACCTTGGTGCACTTTGGAAAACATTTGGTGGTCTGCTTTATGACTTGCTGGACAGTCGATTCAGTAACCATGTTGTATATGCTGAGCAGTCATCCCCACTTACAACTTATCTAGAACTTCCATCCTTTGCAGAACTTTCTGGACTTCAGTTTTTTGGGGCACTTCCTCTGCTGGAATGATAAATTCCTGAGATTTTTAAATCTTTATTTGTGCGATTAAGAATTTTGCTTTCCTTTTATTTTTGTATGCTTTTTTAAAAAATAATGTTTTATTTATTGATTTTAGAAAAAAGGAAGGGGAGAGAGAAACATCTATTTTTGTTGTTCCACTTATTTATGCATTTATTGGTTGATTCTTCTGTGTGTCCTGACTGGTGATCAAACCCATGCTTATTTATTTTAGTTAATGTGGGGTATTTTGCTAGTAAATTCAAGTAATAAACGTTCAAGATTACAGTCTGACATACTTTTTAGAATTTTTTTCCATTTAATTGGTTCACAAAATTAGAATTTTTTTTATAGGTTTGAATTTACAGGAGTTGTCTGTATGAGGATTATTTTGGGAATTTATTTTTTCCTACTATTTATTGTCATTTTTGCAGGTACTCCAGAAATGATTGTGTATGCATTTATTTTTTATTTGTTATTAAATCATAGTAGTTCATCATTAGATTTATCATCATTTTGTTAACATCCAAAAGTTACTTTGTTAGAATTATTTCTCTTTTGAGATTATCTAATGCATAACCTGGAATTTCTCATTCAAGTTTTATGTGACAGTCACATTGCAGAGCATTTTTTGGTCCACGCTGGCTTTTTGAAAGACTCTTCAAGCTGCTTCTACCTGGCTATGAAAAGAATTTTGTAGTTATAAAAATCAACATATTCCTAGCACTTAAATTGACTCCATAATGAAATGTTTCCATTGCTTTCAAGCTCTGCCTTGAGGAAACTTTATTAAATAAACAACAGTGTAGATAGATTTTTCTTTTTGAAATTGGCACATTGCTATTTTGTCTGTAGGCATGTCTTCATTATGTTAAAATTAATTTATTTGCAATTAAAATATTCTCTTTAGTAGTTGAGACTTTAGATCCTTATTTTGGGAAAGATCATGTGGGGAAGGGAGTGTAGGTGAACTTCAAGGAAAAATGAATACCAATTACATATACTCTCAATAATGAGTGTGAATTTCTTTCTTTTTTTTTTTTTGAGACCTGAAGGTGGAGTGCATTTTAAAAAGCACTAGAGGTCCTCAGTTGACTACAAGTGTACTTGTACACTGGTAGAGGTGGAACTGTGTACTCAGGTCTCATTTTCATGTGTTTGGTAATAAATGTGTCAGAATTATGTAGGGTAAGAACACTGATGTAGTATGTCTAGAAATGTTCAAAGAGACTACATGTTTTCTGATTTCGGTCACTGTAACATAGGATTATTTTTCTGCTTTTCAAACCTTTCGGTTTACTCCTTTGGTAGTATGATCAGCAATGTGTTAATGCATAGTTTAGATACAGGTTAGTGACTTCCATAGCGTAAATGACAAAACAAGATTTCTCTGTTTAAGCACCTCAAAATATATGGGGTTAGATATTTTAAATGATAGAATGTGAGGTCAGAAATAAAGATTTAATGTAGAATTAGAATAAAGTATAAAAGTATGGTTTTATGAAAAGTTTTGAGAGGTTAACCTGGAATTTAGGTTATCAAGTCTAAATAGATTAAAGGTATGAGTACTTTAGCAATGAAATTAAATAAAAGAAAAATTTAATTTGACTTATTGTTAGTTTTTAAAGTCTGTGTAATTGAGTTTTGCCTTCCAAGGTGTATTACTTAATAACTAAAGTCATCTATCACTTTCTCATGGCTTTGAAGATGATCAGGATAATATTATATAGGTTATTAAGGATACAATGTCTTATGAATAAATTAACTTTAAATAAATAGAGTGGTTTTATATTAAGATATAAGTTTGTATCCTCTAACTTTGCTTTTTAGAATACCATTAACATTATTTGAGGACCTTTAATTTATTTTGCTCTTCCAATGTCTTGATTTATTTTTAAGCCACGTTGACTTGTGGGTAGGATGTGCATGTGGTTTAAAGTCAGAAGACCTTGGCTCCTGCTGAGGCTCCACCATTTCCTAGCTCTGTGACCTTGGGCAGTTCAGCTTTTCATATCTGTTTCCTGAATTGTAAAATTCTACAGATGTAGGATTAAACAAATAGGGAACTAAGAGATCAAATGAAATATTTGTATATACCAGTGCTTTTAGAAAACTGTTCAAGAATAAAGAAGGAAGTTTTAATTAAATATTTATTTCTAGGATTGGTAATAAATACACAATCTTACTTAGGTAATATAATCTTTACAGTTAATGTTTACTTAAAATTTTAATATATTATTACACAACTTATATAATACATAATACATTTAATAAAATAAAAAATTTATTTAAAAAATTCTCTTATCTATAAATATATTCTCTCTAATTAGTGAGATTAAGAAACAATATGTAAAAATATGTAACCAAATGTAATTTTTTCTGGAATTTTTTTTCTTTTATGTTCATTAAAATACTACTAAACTAATATTTAGAACTTGAGTTTTAGGAGATGATGTGACTTCTTTTAATAAAGCAAAGTACTCTAGCTCTTTCAAGGGTTTTTAAACATCTTTCCCAGTTCTTCCTTTTATTGCATCTCACACTTTATTTAGCACTTAATTTTAGACCACACAGCTTTAGAAACACAATACTTAAATTTTACCTTGTGATAAAGATGAACTAGTTGTAATGTTCATCTTGGACACTTCAGCATAATATTTGAAACTTGAACAAGTCACTGTTAATCTGGACATACTATCTGAGGATAACTCAATAGCAGGATTTATACTCTTAGAAATTGTCAATTTTTTGGAACAATATGTGATGTGGAGACATTCTGATACTATGAAAGCTCAGAACATCTCATTTGAAATGTGAGACACTAATTTGGTATTTGAGCAAAAATGAATATATATACATATAAAAACTTCACTGATGACTTCTGTGTCATATCAAATGAAAAACATTATATGAATATAAAGATATTGAGGGCAGTTAGGGTGCCTCAGTGATAGACAAACATTAGAGGTTTTTTGCATGCTTTTAAGGAAAGCTGTTTAGGGATATGCAGAGTAAAGCAAGAGTTAAAATTTGTTATAGAAACTTAGAATTCTAGAGGTAAATTTTATTTTGACATGCATATGAAAGTAACAATAAAATTGATGTATTATTCTTTATGTTATTCTTTATCTCATTTACTTTAAGAATAAAGACACATTTCATATATTAAATTGAGAATTATAACATCAAGGGTAGAGTGAATAGAATTCAAACAAGTTTTAAGATTTATTGTGGCATTATTGTTCCTAGAATTTCTTTCATTTTTTCCATTTTTCTTTTCCCCCCTTGTAAATGCATGGGAGGAAGCTGAGGAACACTGGGGCATAGTAATTTGATAAAAGTATGTTTATTAATAGGCAGAACAAGCACCCATTTTATCATATTCACTCAAATGAGATATTTAGGAATGTTTTGCTATCAAAATAATTTCTGTTTTTAAAGTGCTGCATTACTACTCTGTAACTTCAGAAGGGATTTTGCATGCATTTTTGAGAAGTATTTTAAAATTTACAAACTTGTTATTAATGATATAGTACTGAATTTAATATAAGTAACTCATTTTATTAAAAGCTTGGATTTTTTAGCAGTATTAAGTTGACTGTGTAGAGAGGAAAAAACGTTCAAAAGCGCTTTAAAATAGTTTATATCATATATTTTTAAAACCCAGTTTATTAATATTTCCTGTGAGGAATTATAATGATAATACTGAAATAGTCACATCAATAATGTGCATGTTGTACAGTCACACAACTGTTCGTGTTATTTGAGATGTAAGTAGATAGCCCGCTCCTACCTGTTCCTCAGCAGAGTAACAAATAACAAAACGAAGCCATTGTCTTGCATGGAAAACTCAGATCAACACTCCCACCAAATATAGCAACATAATTGAAAGGTATTTTAATTGGCAGAAATTCACTTTTGAAAAGCAAAATAAAAGTGTAAGTCAAATTAAAATGACAAACCAATAACCAGGATCAATGGTGAATGTAACCCTTATCATTTGAAAGTTATTCTTACTGTCACTGAATGGCTGAGCATTTACTTAGAAATTAAGCTTTTTGTCATATCAGCTTTGAACTGAAGTTTGCAATATACGATTCTGTTTTGAAAAGTGCAGTAAATATGAATTACAGAAAGTAAGAATTACCAAATCAGTGAAATCTATTTCTTACCTTCACTGTTGTGCTGATCACAATATATAGAGAATTTTGAATAGTGTGAAGTCTTATCGGCGTTCAGCTGGAAAGTTTTCTCTGTTACCAGATTTATGGGAACAATTGAAGTAGGTGGAGGAGAAAAAGTGTTCTAGGGAGGACTTATGATGTCACACAGGAATTCTGAAGTTATGATTGGTTAGCATAGTCTTATCACACCCAAACATTTTAGAATGTCATTTATCTTACTTTAGGTGTAGAAAGGTCATTAACACTTTGTGCCTCATTTTATGTTTTTAATTTTAAAAAGTATGTGATAGATAAATAAAAAAAAGTTTGGGATAGTAGAAAGCTCTTTTTAAAGACGCATGTGTCTTTGGGCTTAGAAATGACTATATACTGATAATGATAATGTTGAAGAACTAAACTAGTTGTAGTAATAGGAGTTTTAATAGTAAGAATAATAATACTGGCTTTAGCCAAACAGCAGTTATTGAATTGCTGTTGCTGCTGTTGCTGTAATCCTGCAACTTCATAACGCTAACTTCTAACAAGATAATAATTAAACATTTTCACAGAAACAAATTTTACAGCTTTTTCTGTTTTATTTTGCTTTGTTTCCTATGTGTGAGATATCCAGGCTAAAAACTGACTTTGGTTTAAAAAATTAGCTTTTCTTATGTTTAAAGTAATAACTAATAACTGTGTTTAATACTTTTGTGTTTTCTTCAATTAGGGCTTTAACAGTATATTTATTTTCTGGGAGAGCTATGTGTTAATATTTAATATTTTCATTCTTACAGCAGAGTGAACTCAGACTGCTTTCTTATGGGACTAAAATGTGTTGGAGCAGCTGCTATGTGTCCTTAAATGGAGATGATTTTGGCTTCTTCCAAAGAAAGATAAACTCATTCTCTAGAGCAAATGTCTCATTATGTAAAGAATCAACTAAAACTAACAGGAAAATAGTATTTCCGCAGAGATCTTCTATGAACATTGCTAAGGGAAAATTTATAACTTGCAAGTAAAACCCAGTATTTAAAAGTATTGTCTGAATAATGTCTGACATTTGCTCAGTGCTCTGCAAGCATTTTTTTCTTTCAGTTCTTTCATAGTAAGAATCTGTTTTCATCTCCATTGCCAGTGATGACTGAAATACAAAACCTAGGTTTGAAATACAAGCATAAAGTGATTTACATTTATGTGTCAAAGATGATGTATCTGTTGAGAGACTGAATATTCAGATCTGGATGTTTAGTTATAATTCAATGACAGATTGGCATGTTTGGAAGGAAAAATCACAATTTGAATGTAGACTTCATAGAGTAGCATGCATCAACTAAGAAATTTTGATAGTAATAGATAAATTACTGAAAAGTTTTATTTTTAGAAAGTCTACTTTTTAAATTTGCCTACATATTTATTTGAAAATGAAGTTTAGGGAATGGATCACTGTAGTATAAGCACCTTCAGTTCTAAGAAAGAGAATTAGTAATACTAGTAATATTTAGTTGGCTAAACCTAAAAACTACTACGCCCTGAATAAAATATGCCATAGATATTTCACATGTTGCTGTGCTCTCTTTAAAGGCATACACAGGTGTGCGCACACAAGCTCACACACATCTTAGAAGGATGCTAATTGTGCGTGTGTCAGAATTGGTAAATGGAGATAAAATGTACTTTCCAGATTTGTACAAGGCTGGGAAATTTCTGTGTTTACGCTTTTTGGTTAGCTGTGGCTCCTTATTAGTAGCAGTAGTAGTCTAAATGGAATTCTGGGAAGGACTACATTTTAGTTTTAGCCAGAATCAGCCTAAACAGAAAGTATTTTAGTAAATAGGAGCATTTGGTAAGCTAGAGTATAATCAGTCTAGTATTCCTCAAAAACTCCACAGCTAGGGGCTGGAAATTGTTTTTAGAGGTGCTTTGTCAGAATATTCATTTGGAGTCAAACTGTATAACTAGAATCCATTTTTGGTCACCTGACCATAGGCAGCTTCCCTAAGCTGCCTTGTCTGTAGAATTGGTTTGTTGTGAGGGTTTAAATGAGGTGAATTGTGTGTAGTGACTGTTAAGAGACTGTGCAACACAGTGTCTATTTACTGTCAGTACTTTTTTCTTTTAGAAGAGGATTCTTAACCTGTAGTCCATGGGTAGAGTTCAGTGGTCTTTAAACTTGGATAGGAAAGATTACATCTTTATTTTTACTAAACTCTGAATGAGATTTAGTACTTATTCAGTCTGACCATAAATCACAAACTGCAGAAGTGTCAGCAGTACATTTGATGTCACTGTAGCAATCTCAGATAATTTCATATGTTATAGTTTTTGCAGAGAGCTTGAAATACTGTTTATATTCATCACTGTTTTGAAATTGCCATAATTTGATCTGCTTGTAGATACTGTAATTTAATGTATTAAAGAAGCACAAGTATTAAAAATTTGTTTTTTAAAAGCAACTATTTCAGTGTAATTTCCTTTCTAGTCCTGTGCATCTTATTTTTTAGAACAGTTCTAAATTTATAGAATTATTGCAAATGTAGTGCAGAGGGTCTCTGAGTACCCCACACACCATTCCCCCATTGTTAACATCCTCTGTTTGTGTGGTCCGTTTGTCGCAAGAGTTGCACCAAAATAGATTATTTTAGCAAATACCCAAACTTCATTCAGATCTCCTCAGTTTTCTGGAGTATCCTTTTTTCTTTTCCAGGATTTTTTCTAGGATACCAGATTGCATTCAGTAGTCATGTCTCCATTGGTCCCATTGGTTGTGACAATTTCTCAAGACTTTTCTTTTGATGACCCCGAACAGTTTGAAGAGTGCTGCTGAGATACTTTATAGAATGTTCCCAAACTTGTATTTGTCTGATGCTTTCCTCCTGTTTAGACTGGTTAAAGTGTTTTTTTGAGATAAAGGCCAGAGCAATAAGTGCCATATTCATTACATACCAGTGTACATGGTGTCAGCATGACTTATCACTGTCACTGTTAAACCTTCATCACCTGGCTGCCTTGTAATGTCTGTCGGGTTTCTCCGTTGTAAAGCTCCTCCCCCACAACCCCTTCCTTCCAGCGCTCTCCAGAAGACAGTCACTATGCACAGCCTACACTTACACATCACTACCATTAGAGTGGAATGTCTCTAAAAATTATTTGGAATTCTATGTATTTTATGTATTCATAAACATCCTGAGAACAGATCAGTAGGCCTTAGCAGTCTGCCACAAAAGCCCATGGCAGGAAAAGTTAAGAATTCCTGTGTTAGAGGATGTTTCTGTAGTTGTAAGGGGCAGGCCTTTTTGGAAAGAGAAGGACTGAGTTCTCAAACAGGCTAAAATCTGGACCTCTTACTTTGCTTTTTTAGGCCCTGTCTTTCTAGCTTCATCTCTTATCACATTCCTTTGCATTCTGGGCTCTAGCCCCGTACAGCTGCCAGTGACGCTCTGAATAGGCTATTGTTCTATTTTAAGCCTCCCTACTTTTTTGTAGGAATGTCCTTACCAACCTTTCTGCTCAACAAAGTGCTGTGTTGGTTTGTTTCTGCTGTGCAGCTCTCCCTGCCTTCTGTCAGATAATTTTGCATGCACCTCCACTATCTGTCTCCTTTTATTGCATTTTAAGTGTATGTACCTAAAATAGACTGCAGGCTCCCTGAGAGCTCATCCAATAACTCATATTTATGCTGCAATTTATTCCTTATAGTACTATTACCTAGTGTAGAACCTAGCTCTTAGTAATTATTTTTTTAAAAGATTTTATTTATTTATTTATTTGTTTTTAGAGAGAGGGGAAGGTTGGCTCATAGTACTTCTTAAATACTGACTGAATGAATGATTGCATGGGAGAACCAGAAAAGGTTACAGGGTTGGTAGTGAATGATCCTGCAGAAATAAGTGTTAGGGACAGTTATAAAATCCTTCCCAATTTTAAGCTAACTGTAGTATAGGAAGAGGATGGGGGATTGGGGTAAGAGTAGAATAACTGAGAAAATAACTTTTTTCTTGTCATTTAAAAATGTTTAAATATATTTGGAGGGTGAGAGGGAAAGAATGACAAAAAAATGTGTGAAGGCAAGCCAAACCATAAGCCCACATCCCTAAACTAATTAATATTTTGGGCATTTTAATATGACTATGTATTAAAATTATAATATAAATTTTAATGAGATTGTTTTTAGCATGAATGTGTCATAATTTATCAAATTAGTCTCTTATTAGATAGGTGATTTATAATTTTTGCCATTATAAGTCATATCAAATAACACTGAACATCTGTATAAATAAATTTTTATCTCCTTTTGTCTTTTTTTAGTCTGTTGGTTAAGTTGTTACAAATAAATGTTAGTTTATTCAAAGATGATCAAGCTCTTAAATGAATTTGATTTGCATTTGAATTCCAGTTTAATAATTTCGAAAGTTTTGGTAGTTAAGTGATAGTATTTCCTTTTATATCGATAAAATTCTTTGAGAAAATTATCTAGGAATACGATTTTTCTTGGTGAGGATTAGACTGAAATTGGCAAACATGCAGAGGGTTGTGACTGTGTCACCCTAGCAACTAAAGGAGTCACCCTTTTTGGTTTAGATCACGTGGCCTTTGAACTGTGCTCCTGCACAAAGGATGGGAGAGATATCTTTAGCTTAATTTAGGTCTGAGCTTTTATATAAAGACTTTGATTATAACATTTAAATCCTTGATTGCCTGAGGTGAGACCCTCTAAAACATAATAGCTTTTGCCCTTCAGTTACACACTTAGCCCTCTTTAAGTTTATATAAAATGAATGCAACTAATCCTTTATATTTTCAGTATAGATGCGTGCTTGAGAAGGTTACATAAAATGGATTTTGATATGTGGAATTCATGTTTACCATATCGAGCAAGAGATGTAAATTGTCTTAGTGGAAAAGATTAATAAGCTTAATTTCCGAATGTATAGACATTGTAACTTTTTATCAGCAGTTTAATGTACTGAGAGTTGTATACTGTTTTTGAGATATCACAGTGAATCTGCACTGTATCTTTAACCCATCTCCAAATTAAATCTTTATAAAGCATAGCAAAAGGATTTGAACATATCTGCAGTTTTCATTTGCCTTTCAGTTGGTCAGAGGTTGGTGGTAA